GGATATGGGCCTTTCAAGAATGTACTATCCACTCCCAGGAAATCCCTTAACCCAGATTTGAATCCCAACTTCAATGCACCTAGACATACATATATCCTTCTAAAAGTTTTTGTAGTAGTCGACAAGCATGCTTCAGGATACACATCTATCCTAACAGTTGTACCGGTATTAGTGTTTTGTAGTTCCAAAGCATAATCCCTCAAATATCCATATTATAGTTGGTAGTCCCTGTTGATGACACGTTCAGCCATTTGCTATGCCCTATCAACCTTTTGAGTTGACATACCAAACTCCAACTCCTTACACAACTCCTCGTTTAAAGCTTTGATTGGAATTCTAGGGTTACTTTTGAATTTGTGGAACAATTAAGTTTTCTAAATATTTGGAAGTACAAGCTTTAACTGATCTCGTCTGCAAACATTTATGGTCATCTTGTATTGTTTTCACCAACCAATCCTGATTTTCATTGGGCCTCAAGATTTGGACTGCCCAAGGACATTTTCCTTTTTTTGCTAATTACATTTTTGCCCTTGCACTTTACCTTACTTCTAGTTGATGGGCCACCATGTTCAACTGTTTCAGTAGTTTGGCCCGCAACACCTCTACATTTCACCTTTATCCTGATTTTATCATTTTTTTACTAAGTATAGGGACCTCCTTCTTTTTACAGCATGTGAATGCATGTAATCCACAACTTCTTTCTTTGTGTTGAAACATTGATCCACCCTATACAGTTTTAAATGGATCTCCCCATGAGAGCATGTAGTTGACTTACTCATCTCCTTAAGCATTCTTTTCCTTTCATCTTCATGAAATCATGTAAACTGATAATCATCACTTTGAATAACTTCCAACTCTTCATGAACTATGTCATGACCTAGAGTTTTGGTTTGCTTGTTTAAATTTCCATGTTCATCTACATCCACAACATTATGGAATTCACTCATGTCTACATCCACATCAAATTGCAAGTTAGACTCATGTACAATGTAGTCACTATCATCAAAATCATCTCCACTATAATCAGAACCATCTCCACTCTGACTATAGAAAGCATTTCCACTATCATCACTTAACATGCCCTGTAGAATTTCCACTCCTACTTGAGTGTCTTCAACATTTGGTACACTGTACTCAGCATCAAACTTAGCATAATATGAATAATCCTCTGTAAATGCTTCAAATTCATCAAGTCTTACACTTTGGTCTCCACCAACATCTTCATAAATTGGTTCCTCTGCATCTTCGAAGTTGCAATCAACATGGTAATTGTCTTGTGGTTCTTGAGACTCAACTGCATGATTGACTAAATTACCCTTACACACTTCTTCTATGTGGCGCATGGTCACTCCTTCATTCACATGGATGCCATTACTTTGTTGGCTTACTTGTGACATTACATATGGGGCGATAGTCTTGGAATGATCATGACTTTCATCCACATCTATTACATGTGACTGGTCAACAACGTAGTTGATAGGGTGGTTTAAATCAAGCTTTCTACTACATGATCCTACTCCTCTTCTACAAGGTTTTTTCTATTAAGTTCTAGTGATACACTCTCAGGTTCCAATTCCTCAATAACAACTTTGGAAGGAGACTTAAAATAAGTAGGTACCCTAGTTTGACCATTTTCAATATACACCTTTGCAAGCCTGTGTTTAGGGACATACGAAACCAATTTAAGTATGTCTTGGTCATTACCTAAAGGTAATAGCCCGTAGTCTAAGGGAAATTCAGGGATACAGAAATGGTAGTAAAGGGTTTGTTCACCTTTGTACCCTAATTCTCGAACCATGTCATCGAGTTCATGGACTGAAAATAAATCAATGTCAATGTCATCTACGTATGATACAGTACCGTCGATGTATTTCCTTCGAGGTGACTTGGTGAAGATACCACTATAGTGTATCTTCAACGTGAAATAGTTGTCATATCCCTCTAGAAACACAAAAATAGACAGGGTAAAAGAAGATGATTTATCTTCATGAACGCATTCAAGGAAAACAAAACCTGATTTTTTTTTTTTTTGAAAAATCATATCGTATCTCGATTGTAAGTCCTTTAAGTACGCATTTTTTCACGTAAACACCATCCTGAGAGAACCATTGTCCTTTACTGTTGTGTAAATCCTAAACCCCAATTTCGTGTCTTGGATGAGAATGGTTTGATGAAGATGAAGTCACTGTATTGTGGGAGATGAAGAGAGTTTGGGAGTTGACGTGAAGAAGACAGTAGCATAATGATTTCCCTCATCAAAGAAGAGGGTACACGTGAAAAGACCAATTTGCCATTACATTATTTTAATAAAATAAGAGTTAACGGTTGGGTTCTAACGGTGTGAGGGTTAATGACCAATCGTCAAAAGTTTTGAAAGCACAAGGGCTATCTATGATGTTTTTAAACCATGGGGACTAAAATTCAGATCCGGGGAAAGACATAGACCAGTTATGATGTTTTTTCTTTAAATAATCATATTTTTCTTTTGTCTCCAAATAAATAACTATAAATATTTCTTGAAATCTAAAGATAATAGAATGAAAAATATATGAATATAAATTGAAACCGACAAATCACCTAAATACCTTTTAGACTTTCAAAAGCTTGATTATGATATCCACATTTAGTTCTTCAAAACATATTTCATCATTCAAAAATTTTCTTTCAATTAAGCAGTTAATTAGGAAAAGATGGAAATGTGGAAATTTCAAATTAATATAGTTCAAAATAAATGATTTATCTTGAACTATATTGACTTGAATGACCTTCTTTATATATATATATATATATATATATATATATATATATATATATATATATATATATATATATATATAGCGGAAAAATCAATAGAAAATGCATAAACCTAAAAAAAACCCTAAAAATGTATAAAAAAAATACTTTGAGATATCTATTTTTTTTTACTTTACAAACATAAATCATTACTTTTTTTATAAAATCGTTGAAAAAAATTAATAAAATAATTATTTTTTATATATTTAAAAAAAAATTCAGCGAATTTATTTCGAAACCTACGATTTTTAGCCCTATAAAATTAAAAAAAAATAGATATCTTAAAGTATTTTTTTTCTATGCATTACTATTGATTTGCCATATATATATATATATATATATATATATTAATATATATATATATATATATATATATTGCTCCTTTAAAAACTTCACTCCAAACTTTTAACTATTTGTTTACAAACAAATTGTCTTGTAAGATTAATGAATACTCAGAACCATTTTTCTTTCATATTGACTAATCATTTATAAATATATAATTACAAACAGATTGGAATAGATGAAATCGATGGATTTCCATATACGACATGTGATCGACAAATAGATTGGAAGCAAAGGGGTCGAAGAGATAGAATCCTCCTCTCTCACTAAATTTCCTAAATGATATGGCAATGAGCATGCCGACATGATAGCAATTTTCTATTTTTGTGATTTTAGTGACTAGTCCTTTCGCCCTTACACAAGTACAAAAGAGACCCTTTTCTTATGTCGATCATCAAAATAAATGGAAATCTAATCGTTAACTCACTAAGAATCGCCGCGTAATCATCACCTCATACATCTTCTATAAACACCCAACAGATTGCCCTCTCTAATCTTGCCTCTATCCACTCTCAACTCTCAACCACACACACACACCCCTTCCATTTCCATGGCGTCCTTTCACAAACCTCTCTACCTTTTCTTCACTTTCTTCTTCGCTTTACTCTCTTTTTCCAATGCTTACACCTTCAACGTCGGCGGCAGAGATGGCTGGACTTTACACCCTTCTGAAAGCTACAATCAATTTTCCGGCAGACTAAGATTTGTCGTCAACGACAACCTCCGTATGTATTCAACTCCTTTTTCTCTTAAGTTCTTTGATTTGGGTTTTCGTTTTTTCCATGTGGGTTTTTAAAAAAAATTGATTCTTGATTTGCAGATTTCAAGTACGATGCTGCATCGGATTCTGTATTGGAGGTCAGCAAAGGTGATTATGATAATTGCAACACGAACAACCCCATCACCACCCTCACCGGCGGCGACTCTTTCTTTACCTTGAATCGTTCAGGTCCTTTTTACTTCATCAGTGGTAATAGATCTCACTGTAACGAAGGTCAGAAGCTAGAGGTGGTTGTTATATCACCTAAAACGAAGCCGTCACATTCCGCCGCTCCACCTCCGGGAGTTTCACTTGCTCCAATGGTCTCCCCAGGCTCCCCTGTTTCATCACCACCAGAATCTGGAACATCTGGACCGACTGCTCCGACGGGTTCCCCTATGTCTTATTCTTCACCACCAGAACCTGGAACTACTCCGATGGCCTCCCCTTTTTCGTCACCACCAGAATATGGAGCTACTCCGATGGGTGCCCCCACTGGAGGTATCTCAGCTTCTCCAACAGGTAATCCGTCTGACGTGAACGGACAATCACCGAATGGATCACCGGAAGGGTCGCCGTCGTCGTCGTCGACAAGACTACCAGTTTCAGCAACCTTGACTGTCTCATTTGTCATTATGATAGTTGGGTTGGTGTGGTTTTATTAGAGTGTGTTTATTTTCTTAGAGTGGTAATCTATTACAATTTTTTTTTTCTTGTGATTTTGTATGCATTTGTGTTAAAAAATAATTGAATTCTTAATTCATCGTAATATTTTGTTTTTACATAACTCATACTTCAACATGCTTTGTTTAACTAGTGTTCACTGAAAATATAGTTTTTACACAAATTACTAAGTCCATCCATCATTTTGTAAAAAGTTTAAATATGTATATTCATATATTGTATTAGTGGCTAGAGATCCACTTAATCCTAAAATTGTGGATTTCTTCTCGCTTATATTCACAACTTAAATAAAGGAATAACGAACATTTCTTTAGGAATTCATGGGGATCATTAGTTACCTAATTCTAAACCACAATACAACCATATCACTTCTTTTTTGTTGTTCTAAAGAAAAATTGTAACTATAATCTTTCTTTGAGATATGGCTAATCACATTAGGGTTGTCATCATCATGTTGGCAATCACTTTCCCCCGTTTTGCAACATCCAAACCTATAATCTTGTCGTCCCAACCCCAATGGACAGTATTGAACCGATTGTCAGGCTCTCATCGACGGCTTGTAGGGGACACCATTGATATTAGGGAAGAGATGATGATGGAAAACGAAAGTGCACGAAGAATCCTAGCTGGAAGAGGGTATATAAGCTATAACGCAATGCAGAAGAATAATGTTCCATGCAACCAACGTGGTCAGTCTTATTATGATTGTAACAGTAGAGGTCAGGCTAATCCGTATTCTCGAGGATGCAATGTAATCACTAGGTGTGGTGGTCGTTGATTAGATACATAATTCATGTGTGTTCATGGGTTAAAATACACGACAACCCTTTTGAATGTTCTTTCACTTTGCAATTTTAGTGCATGGGTCGATTTGACGAAATTGCCTTCATTCAAACGGTTGTCTTCTCATCCATTATCTAGAGTTAGATTGATGTATCATTGTTCTTAAATGATTTAAACTGTCTTAAGATTAATTTTTTCAATTATATTTCTTTTTCAGGATTATTTTTTCTCAAACATTTGTATTATGGACATAATTGTCGACATCAATCCATAATACACCAATTTCATCTATATAATTCCAAATAACGCCCAACATAATAAAGTTATGATTCAAACTTATGACGTATTTTTCTTGTCAATATGTTGTTTCCCTTTTTAATATCGCTAATGATTAATTTTTGTCTTTTGACTACAACTAGAAAAGTCTAATTGGAATGAAAAAAACAATGTCTTACTCGAAATTGGTTTTACAAAATTTTATAGTTGCGAGGTACCAATTGGAAAGTGGAAACTACTATTATTTGCAATTCACCAACACTAAAGGGTGTGGTGGTGTTTTGCTTATGTTAAAAATGTACACATAGGCATCACATAAGATTTTATTATTTTTGTCGCAATTTATTTATGAATGAAGTGTGATGATATTTTTACCTTTGAAATTAATAAAAAAAATAAAATAAAAAATAAGTTAAATTTGCAACAACCAATCAATAGTTAGAATGATAACCAAACCTCTAAAAATTCACAATTTGTCATCGGCAAAAGTTCACCGTTGAGATTTGCCAATGATAAAAAAAAAACTAGTCAAGGGGTGATGTTTGTCACCGACAAACCAATCCACATTAGCATATCAGCAAAAACCATGTGACATCGTACACTCTAATACTCATAAGGATATGAGGTGTGTTCACTACATGTTCACTAGAGACGTGATACCACTTATGTGTCACATCACCTCCATTATATGTTCACTACATGTTCACTACGTATTCACTAGCTCTAGGAAATGGTTATCACTCCACATTGTTTATCATTTTTTTTAATATATATATATATATATATATATATATATATATATATATATATATATATATATATATATATATTTAGATTAAATAAAAAAACATAATTAATAAACATAAATAAATATTTCACATTACATAACTTAAATAACAAAAAAAAAATTCAAACCTAAATTACTAAAAAAAACATAAAATCATAGAAATTTAAACATAAATGACTTAAAAACCATAGAAAATTAAACATAAAAATTAAAACATTTAAAACCTAATTTACATACTTGTCACGAACTTGTTTTTGGATTTTCAGAAACGCGGCTAAATTTTTCAGGTCGATATGCAGTTGTGCCTTTGTGACTACAATTTGAAGATCGGTAAGTGCTAGTTTCTGACGACGAGCTTCCTCCGTTGAGTCTTTTTTTTTTTTTTTGCAAAAAACTTAGAATTTTGTCAAATTTTTCTGCAAATACGTCTTCATTACTCGCTTTTCCGCTTGAAGACGCCGTTTTTTCCTTTTGTCCCTTCCTGGTGGTCGGCGAAGTTGGACTTTCGGTGGACCCTCCCCTTCGGTGTCGTCGAAGTCTTCGTTGAGGTCGACACCAAAACCCACATCCGACTCGGAAGTTCTTGGCCTTTTGTTGGAGCCGGTGGTCGATTCCGAATGTGAAGTCTCCGATTTAAGGACCCATTTTGGACCCTTACGACAAATTTTCCACGCTTTTTGGTGGCCGAATGTTTTACTACCGTTGGTGATCTTGTATTGTTAGCAAGCGGTTGATAAAATATTGAAATCGTTGCTACCACTTTTATGCATATTTTTCAGATTTTAAAATATGTCGTTAAACTTGGTGCAAGCCGCTCGTAGTTCACGCCATTTTCCATTGACTGCGTCGTACGTTCGACCCGTTTGCCTTCCCAAAAGCGAGTGAAAGTGATCTAAAACACGGACCCAAAAACTGTTTCCCGTTTACGCATTGTTCGTCCTCGAGTCACACAATATAAAAATTCAAGCTTTAGCCAAAGCTTCCTCCTCATCTTCTTTCCAAGTTGCTCCTCTTTTTTTTGTAGTTTTTTCCTTTTGGTTGTCTTTTTCTAGATGGTTGTGTTTCTTCAACCCGGTCATCGTTGTCATTGTCCAAGTTTATAGGTGGGGATTGAGATAAGGGGACTTGAGATGGTTGTGTTTGGAATTGTTGAGATGGTTGTGTTTGGAATTGTTGAGCTTAAAATTGTTGAAAAGTTTGGAAGTGGGGTTAATTGAATTGTTGTGTTCTTTGTTGTTGGAAATTGTTTGGTTGATATGAAATGTTGGGAATAGAGATTGTTTTTGGATTGGGGATGTTAACATTTACATGTAACCTTGATATTGATCATTTGGAATGTTTGCGATTGTTGGGGTATTTGGAGTGGTTAAGATATTTTGATTTTGATCCATACTTTTGAGAAAAAAATGAGAGAATAGAAAGATATTTGAATGGTTTTGTGGTGTGATATGGTATAAACATGTTGGTATTTTATATGGTTTAGTTTAAGGTTAAAAAGTTTTTTTTTTTTTTTACATTGTAACGGGTCAATTTTTGACCGTTTGGTTAAATGACATTCTATTGGTAGTAAGGAGTGTAACAGGCATCAATCCACACCATATTTACGGGTGAGGGGGACGGTGTTCATGCGTAAAGATGCGTGCCACTTCACCCATTACGCGTAAAAATGAGTCATGTACCTTATGGCCTAAACGTTAATTATGAATAGTTTTTTAATCCGTTTGACTCATATTTGACCTAAGTTTTTTAGATTATACTTTTAGGTGTGTATCTCAAAAGTCAAATCTATTTGCCATTAAAAAAAAGTGTATCTCAAATATATTTTGTTTTAAATAGGCGAGTCAAAATTGCAATATCTTACTTTTTAGATTATAAACTAAGCAAAGTACTTTATTGCTAGGATCCATATTGATATTTTTCGAATCTTCTTAATCGAGAAAGTTGGTGCAAATTGTCTCATTCATGTGAACATAGAAATTTGGAATAGAATTTAGAAATGGACCTAACATATTATAAAAAGACACATTAATTAAACTAAAACGATCTTATTAACAAAAATACACCTTTTTCGGTTTTGAAAAATGATACTTTCTTGGAATGCCCCGTTTCGGAATGGTTAAGGTTGTTCCGCAGTTGGTGAGTGGTAGCTGAGATTTGACGTAAAGGTATTTTGGGATTCGACGACACACATTCCAAACTGACATCGTACATTTCAGACTGATATTGTATATTTCAAACACATATTCCAGAGGTACATTCTGGAATCATTGCACTACACTCATTTGTTTTCCATTTTTTCATTCACTTACAACCAAAAATTCAGAATTTAATTTTCCAATATTTGCAAATGAGTTCATGAGATCGACTGTACAAAGAAAGCTTTGCCAAACTTTCTGTTTACTTTCATAATTTTGAAAAAACTAACCCAGGAACTTTTACCAACATCAAGAAACTTGTGAGAGACCATTTTGTGACAACCCGAAATTTCTATCTTGTACTATTATCCAAATCAGACAAAGTCAGACTCGTTTCTGTCACTTTCTAGCTTTGTTTTGAGTCATTTGGGTGTTCTAAACCTAGTAGCTTCAAGTTAGGAGTTTGGATTTGAGTCCCGCAAGTTCACTCGACACAAAAATGGCCAAACACTCCAACTTAAGGAGTGTACGGCCGTACACTTGGGTGTGCGGCCGCACACCCCTCCTCTGGCAGCACACTCATGCCTATATGATGGGGGCTTGGCCTTCATTCAATCCTTTTCACCCTCCTAGCCAAGAACTAGTTTTCTCTCAAGTAGCTCCCGATTTTTCAGCTAGATCTTCAAGTGGTAAGTGTTTCTATCCTTTGATTTGTTGATTCCTTACCCTATCTAGTGTAAATCACTGATTTCATCCATGAAATCACTCCATTTTAGTAGATCTTCAAGTGTTCTTCAGTTTTACCAAGAACACCTACTAAGTTCTTGGGCTCCAAACACCCCTACACGCTTCTACATCGTAAGTACCCTACTCCTGCATGTTATTAGCTATATTTGAGCCTTAGAAAATGTCCAGAACTCGATCTTCAAAGAGTGTGCGGCCGCACACACTCATGTGGCCGTACACCCCTTATCTTAGTGCTTTAAGGCCTCAAACTCAACTTATATGCTAGCACATGAGCAAAGACACTTAGGGGATACAAGATATGACCTTGGAAGTTCGTTTTTGACCATTTTTACTAGGATTGTGCGGCCGCACACTCCATGGCCGCACACCCAATGGGCAGCACACCAGGTGGCTGCACATGCCCCTGTACGACCGTACACCCATTTCAGATGACTTTCGATGCTTCTAACACTTAAATCTAAGTGTTTTCTAAGCCTTAGGGTGTTTTCCTTGCATGATTAGTTGTATATAGACTAATTATATACATATATGTGCTGATATATGCTTATTAGGATCCGTTGTGCTCGAGTATACACTTGGCACTTAGCAATCCTACAAATCGATCTTTCATTCATACCACTCACTGCAGGTGAGTTCATACCCCTTTAACTTACCTTTTAAATGATTTTAAATGCTTTTATGGGGGGGGGGGGGAATACAAGTAGAAACATTATAGTTATTATATCATTCGCCTGTGATTAACAGCTATCAAACAATGGATTTCTTATACTTCAAACTGTGTTTTCAAACAAACTACTTCAAATCGTTTTACAAACCCTTTTATATGCAAGCTCTTTAACAAACATATTTATATACAAAAACTCTTTATCAAACTCTTTTAAACTTATACTTGTTCTAAAACATATCTATATAGATATAATTATATAAGTAGGATTGAAAGGACTTAGGACTGACAACTCGCCTTACTTCCTGTTCCTTGTTTGGTTGTGGACTTAGGGCATTGGTTGTTTGTCCGAAGGTCGTTTGAATCTTAGTTATACATTATGTATA